CCAGGCGGTCACCCATCCAAGTACTAACCGAGCCCGACGTTGCTTAACTTCAGTGATCGGACGAGAACTGGTGCTTTCACGTGGTATGGCCGTAGACATTATATAGAAATTTTTCTGGCGGGTCTTTCTCGCAAAACAGGGGAAAATACCAGCAAAATGGAGTCTCCAGCGCAAAAGGGAGTCTACAGCACTCGGTGTTCCCAGGCGGTCACCCATCCAAGTACTAACCGAGCCCGACGTTGCTTAACTTCAGTGATCGGACGAGAACTGGTGCTTTCAACGTGGTATGGCCGTAGACATTATATAGAAATTTTTCTGGCGGGTCTTTCTCGCAAAACAGGGGAAAATACCAGCAAAATGGAGTCTCCAGCGCAAAAGGGAGTCTACAGCACTCGGTGTTCCCAGGCGGTCACCCATCCAAGTACTAACCGAGCCCGACGTTGCTTAACTTCAGTGATCGGACGAGAACTGGTGCTTTCAACGTGGTATGGCCGTAGACATTATATAGAAATTTTTCTGGCGGGTCTTTCTCGCAAAACAGGGGAAAATACCAGCAAAATGGAGTCTCCAGCGCAAAAGGGAGTCTACAGCACTCGGTGTTCCCAGGCGGTCACCCATCCAAGTACTAACCGAGCCCGACGTTGCTTAACTTCAGTGATCGGACGAGAACTGGTGCTTTCAACGTGGTATGGCCGTAGACATTATATAGAAATTTTTCTGGCGGGTCTTTCTCGCAAAACAGGGGAAAATACCAGCAAAATGGAGTCTCCAGCGCAAAAGGGAGTCTACAGCACTCGGTGTTCCCAGGCGGTCACCCATCCAAGTACTAACCGAGCCCGACGTTGCTTAACTTCAGTGATCGGACGAGAACTGGTGCTTTCAACGTGGTATGGCCGTAGACATTATATAGAAATTTTTCTGGCGGGTCTTTCTCGCAAAACAGGGGAAAATACCAGCAAAATGGAGTCTCCAGCGCAAAAGGGAGTCTACAGCACTCGGTGTTCCCAGGCGGTCACCCATCCAAGTACTAATCGAGCCCGACGTTGCTTAACTTCAATGATCGGACGAGAACTGGTGCTTTCAACGTGGTATGGCCGTAGACATTATATAGAAATATTTCTGGCGGGTCTTTCTCGCAAAACAGGGGAAAATACCAGCAAAATGGAGTCTACAGCACTCGGTGTTCCCAGGCGGTCACCCATCCAAGTACTAACCGAGCCCGACGTTGCTTAACTTCAGTGATCGGACGAGAACTGGTGCTTTCAACGTGGTATGGCCGTAGACATTATATAGAAATTTTTCTGGCGGGTCTTTCTCGCAAAACAGGAGAAAATACCAGCAAAATGGAGTCTCCAGCGCAAAAGGGAGTCTACAGCACTCGGGTTCCCAGGCGTC